CTATTCATGTCCTTTTCTTGCTATGAAAAAAATCCCATTTTTTCTTATTATAAAGAGCTCTTCGTAGTGTGACTATTAACCCTTTGTGAAATCTGCTGTAAATAATGTTTTCCAAATTTGTTAATTGCCTTTTGGCTATATTTTCATAAACAGGAGTTCTAAATTAAAATGTATTAGCTTTTCCTTTGTGATTTCTTCCATTGCTGGGGGCTTGAAACGCCCTTATCCACATGGTGAAACAGTCGACTCTGCTTTCTTCCCTGTGGTTTCTTCTCCCCCACCCAACTTCGTAACCCGCCTCCTTGCAGACGGGTCTTGCTTGGCTTTTCTCCCTAGCACTCACCCCCTGCCTGTTCTCCACCCCCAGTCTAGGGTGGCAGAGTCCCTCAACAGACCCTTTCCTTTGTGCAAACGTGACCCGTGGGCTCTGACTCTTCTCTCCCCTCTCTCCGTGATGCCGCAGAAAGGACGGAAGGACGCGCTTCTGGAGCCCTCCCCGCCTCCGAAGGACACGCTGCTGCCGTGGCCCCAGCGCCAGAACCCCAGCGGGCTGAGACGACAGAAACGGGACTGGGTCATTCCACCCATCAACGTGCCGGAAAATTCCCGCGGGCCCTTCCCGCAGCAGCTCGTGAGGGTGAGTGGAGACCCCCCCCCCCCGTTCAGCAGGGGCGGCGTGGGCGCCCCGAGCGCGCGTTGCACGGCGAGGGGCAGGCTCTGCGCCGGCCGTGCACGGTCAGGATCCCACCTAACGGTAATGAGATGCGTGTTGCACAGAACGGGACGGTGTGTCCTGCTAGGCAGACGGGACTTGAGTTACGAGTGATCTCTCTCGGTTATTTTCAATGACAGCAGGTGGGGGCGGGGATGTGGAGCGTGGCCTTTGACCTCTGACCCCTTTCTTTGGTCTGACTGTTCGCATTTCTTTGCACTTATGACTGAGATACTGGGGCATGGTGGGATGGTGGCGCGTCTGTGACGATGGCGGGATGTGGCACATCTGTGTGATGGTCACTGTGCTCAAAGTCAGAGCCTTGAGCCCGAGGCCAGGGGTCTAGGTGGGCGGTGCCGTGGCCCATCTGCCGGCTCCCCGGCGTCACCATGTTCCCTGCAGCTGCCACAGGTTGCTTTTTCTGCAGAAAGAATTCGTTTTACAAATTTGTGTTTCTATAATCTAATCCATCAAGCAGCAATTTCTTCTTCCCTTCGAAGAAAATTGCAACCCAATCTGAGCAATCATTTGATAAAATGATGGCGAGAATTCCATGGAATAATCCCATCCACTGTGCAAAGGCCTCACCCCTCCCTTTGGACACGAGGTCCCCGAGTATGATAAGGGGTCTTCTTCATTGCCGGTGCCGACTGGCCCATTTTGTCTCTCGTTCCTTTCAACACGGAAGGCTGGGCTGTGTTGGGAGCAGAGAAGGCGCGGAAGGAAGCGCCAGCGCAGCAGAGCCCCCGCGGCTCTCTGTACCCCAACACCAGCCCAAGGGTTGGCTGACCCGGCAGAAGGGACCAGAAGTGGCAGACACTTAGAGCAGGGCTCTGCCATTGGTGGGAGCAGCATGAACAGCCCCTTACGCACCACCCAAGGTGGCTCGTTGCAGAGTACCACCCCCTTCTCTGTCCCACGCCAGCCCTACCGCCCAGCACCCCCGCCACGGCCACCGACGGCTCCGGGCAGGCGACTCAGGCCCTTCCAGGCCGGGCCTTTCTTCCCCCCCCCCCCGGCCCCGCCTTTTCTCCGTGGCGCTTGGTGCTGTCGACTTCATGTTCGTCGTTTATTCATCTGCCTGCGCGCTGCCCGAGGGTGGCAGAGACCCTGCCTGCATCCGCCGCGCGGCGAACGGCTCCTGGCACACAGCAGGCGCTGGACTTGTTGCGGGAATGAATGAATGAGGGAACAAGTGAGTGACGGGTGTGGTCTGGAGGGTGAGCGCTGTGCTGGGCGCCCAGCAGCGCACACACCCAAGGGCACAGCCCCTGGGGTCGGCAGGTGTCCCGCACGGCTGGTCCCGGCTCTCGGAGGTGCTCAGAGTGACAACGTGGCACACGCCGGGGGGACCTCCCTGGGGGGAGACGTGTCTTTAGCAAATGGAAAAAGAAACGTCCATTGTGGCTTCTGTAAAAGGTTTATCTTCTCCAGATGGACTCCGCGCCACTGTGTAAGAACTCAGCACACACGTGTGTGCACGCACACGCACGCCACCCCACTTCACGCACACACTCATGTTCTCATTCACTGCCTCCCCCTTGCCTCCCCTCTTCCCTCCCTGGAATTCGTATCTGGCGCAGCCATGGCGTGGGGTGCTTTGCTGCCTGTTTCTGTCTGCAGGAAGTTGATGCGTTTCCTGTCCGTGTTTCGTGGGGGCAGAAAGGACCCGAATCGCAGAGCTGTGCCGAATACAGCGTGATGGGAGCAGGAAGCGGGGCGCAGGGCACTGTGCGGCTCAGCTGGGATCAGCTGCAATTCTCTGCTCATTAAGGCACTTCATTCTGATACAATACGTTAAATGAGAAAACGGGCCGGAGAGGAGGAGGCAGAACATTCCTCTGGAAAGCCTCTGTTAATTGCCAGCGTTTTCCTTGGAAGGAGAATCTTGTCCCTTCCTAAGCCCTCGCTCTGCCGTGCAGGGAGAAAGAGGCGACCTGCGTGTGCAGGGGGAGCCGTGGCGAGGGAAAGGCGGCTCCCGTCTCGGGGCCATGGCGCCGCGGGCACTGCCAGCGCTTACACCTCTGGAAGGGGATGAGTGGGGAGTGAGGAGACGCAACCTTCGGGAGACGCCACCCGAGGGCCCTGGCTGTCCTTTCTTCCCAGGCAGAGGGAGGGAGCGAGTCACCGTCACTGGGCTGATGCCCCGGGAAGCTGGGGGGCCGGTGCTCCCAGAGGAAAAGCAGGAGGGCGCCGTTTAGGTCAGCAGGACACCTGCAACTCGGGGCTGGACGGCAGGACTATCGGTCACATGCCAGGTGCCATGCGGGCTTCAGGGGTTCAGGGGGGAGCATGTAGGGTTCTTTCGTGGCCGTCGAGAACCACCAGCCTTCGGCTTGTTGTTCAGTCTCCCCGTGACCACGTGGTGGTTCCCACGCGGGGCGGCAGCGCGGGCTTTGGAGACCCACTTGCTTCTCCAGCACACGCGTCAGGTTTGACTCTGGCAAGGTTCAGAACGAGGATAAAATCGAACTTTTCACAAGAGGATCTGCTCCTTGGCAGCGTCTCATAAAAATTCAGAATTTGTTAACTTGAGAGCTTGTCCGGGGCAGCTGTAGGAATTGGCTCGAGATGATGAGGAGGAAGCGCGTGCTCCTGGGGACAAATCCTTTAATTGCGGAGGTTGGTGTTTCAGAGGACAGGGAGTCACGCAAACCAGTCCTCGGGGCCCCTGCCAGAGAGCAGAGGCCGGAGAGCCGTGAACACAGGACGCTGGGGAGATGTCGTTACAGTCGCGCGGCGTGAGCCCCGTGGAGGAGACGGTGGAGTCGCACACCCAGAGCGCGGAGGTCGCAGGAGCGCAGGCGGGCGGCTTGTCGGGTTGTCGGACTCGGCCTCTGACGCCGAACAGCTCCCATGGGCTTCGGCTGATGAAAGTGGAATGTTCTCTTCACGTTTCCTCAGTAACGTGGCTCCCACTTTGTGGACACGGCTACACATCCAGCAAGTATTCATCACGTTCCATGTGACAGAGAGGGGCTGGGCCTTTGGGATGTGGAGGTGAGAGGTCACACGCTGCCCTCGGGCCCCGCGCTGGGTCTGCGTCACGGGAGTGCGGCCCGAGCGTGTGAACACGCGTGTGGAACTGGCTGAATTTTAACTCCACGTCACCCTTGCAGAGCGTGTGTAGGTAACCTGCACGCTCACCGTCGAGCCCGCCTAAGAGCCGACTTCCTGGTTCTCTGACGCGTCCATCCACATGCGAATGACTGACGTGTCGTCACTCACTGTCTCACGGAAGCAGAATGGCCTCCCAGAGCGTGAATGTGCATGCGCTGTTCCCTTCCCCACACGCCCCTTGTCCTCAGGAGATGGTCGGTTCCTTGCCTGCCACTCCAGGTCCCCAAGCCCCGACGCTGCCCCTGCACACCTGACTCCAGCCGCGTTGGTGACTCGCAGACTCCAGACCTGCTCAGGTGCTCGGTTACCTGGAGCCCTGCGCGCAGGCTCTTCCCTCCGTCCCGAGGGTTTTCCCACTGCACCCGATGCCCCGACCTGGCCACCTCCTGCCTCCTCTGAGAGAGCCCACTTCTCAGGACCAGCGGAGGCCCTCGCATGGGGTCTCGTGGCAATCCCTTTGCCTGTCACTGTGGCAGAGATTTTGACACAGTTTTGTCAGTAATCACTAAGCCATGTCCCCCGTGAAACCTAAAATTCCTTGAGGGATGGGCCGCCTGTCAAACAGCACGATGACCGAGTAGATGTCATTAGTGCTTACCAGACGGGCGAATGGCAGGACCCCCACGCGCGTCTGTCCTGGTCACCCCTCATGGTCGCTGCGAAGCTGTTGGGTCAGGTACAGAGACTGTGATGGGGATCAGCCCTGGGTGAGTCTGCGTTTATGTGGCTCCCCTCCAACAGCCCCTCCTAGCCTTTGCATCAAAGGCTGGGTAGATCTCATGCAGAAAACCAGTCTTTCCTGTCACAAGGGTTGTAAGATGGGGTTTAGAACTGACAAAGCAGCTGGAATATAAGGAGATAAATCTAGAAAATATATAGCCCAGAGAGGGACTCGCAGACATGCTTACGGACTCTGCCCAGACCCCTGGCCGCCCTTGAGCTGTGCGTGCACAAGTGACGCTCCAAAGAGCCCAGTGAAGGCCACGGCTAGAAGTCTGAAGGCGCTAAGCAGAGATTCAGCTGCTGCCTACTGCAAGGGAAACAGGTTAGAGTTGACTCCAGCCAAGTTATTCAATAACTTCCTGCTATAAACAAAAATAAACACCCTTCAGAGAAAGGTAACAGAACCAGAGTCTCTACAATGTGTCATCGACATTGATCACTATGCAAACAAAAATTACTAGACATGTAAAAAGAGAGAAAATGTGACTTATAATCAAAAGGGGAAACTGCCCATAGAAACTCACCCTGAGATTGCCCAGATGTTGAAATTAGCAGCAAGGCTTTCAGAACATCTCTTATAAATATGTTCAAAGATTTAAAGAAAAACATGGTCATAATCGATGAGTTGATAGGGAATCACAGCAGAAAAGTGGGTACTCTAAACCTATAACCAAATTGAAATGATAAAACTAAAAACCATATCACTTACGAAAGCTCACTGGATGGGGTTTCAAGTAGATAGGAGAAGGCAGAGAAAGGGTCAGTACATTTGAACATAGATCAATAAAATTATATAATCTGAAGAATGCAGAGGGCTCGAATACACAGAGTTTCAGTGGGACAATGGCAGGTAGCCTAGCGTCTATGTAACGGGAGTAACAGAAGGAGAGGAGAGAGGTGATAGAAACAGCCCCTGGAAAAAACCGTGGTTGAAATTTCCTCAAATTTGGTAAAGAAACAAACACAGATCCAAGAAACCCATGGACCCCTGGTAGGGTAAATGCAAAGAAAGCCGTGCCTTGATCTAGTCAAACTGCTGACATTTAAGAAGAAAGCTGAGATCTTAAAGAGCAAGAAAGACG